ACACACACACACACACACACACACACACACACACACACACACACACATTTTAATTCACAAGTTTCCCTCAGTTTATGTGTCACAATCTCAATTTCCTCTTTCTTCCTCAGTGTAGCCTCTGAAAATATTCACTCATTTCATTTAATGTGGGCTAAAATTAGATTTAATACAGTGAACACAGAAGTAAAGCATGAGGGCATCAATGAGCCACTCACCCTGTGGAAGCTCCTGATTTTTAAATCCCCCCCCAAATATTCTCACAATAGGGCAGATGTTATTTTTCCAAAATATTCTCAGTTTCTACAAGGGCAACAAGAGAGGGTCAGCTGGGGTGTGGCAAGGCAATTTTCTCTTTCCCTCTCCCTTGACTTTGAAACTGAATTCAACTCCTAACCAGCTGCCAGGTGAATCCTCGGCTTGGCTTGCTGTCCTGGCAGGCTGTTTAATTCTTTAGCAGGCTGGCCTGAGGAAACCCTAGCATGGTCACCTGGTACTGTCCTCACATGGTCAACTTCCTCCTCTCTGTCTCCTCAGAAGTGTGGCTGACAAAGTCAGGAGCTAAGGGCTGGACCCATATTCCCTCTGGGACTGCCTATGTGGTCAGATGCCTGAATTTTCTCCTGGTATCACAGTCTTGCCCAAGCACTAAGTCAGAGAGGATGAGGAGATGCCAGAAGAATGTGTCCAAAGCAAATACCACAAAACACTGAGTTTTTTCTAAAAAATCCTAGGAGGGAAAGCAACGAGTGTGATCTCTTGACAGTTGCCCTTAAGAGTTGTCTCTGCTGGAGTATTTAGCTCCATATTTCTGTCTCTTTGGTGCCAAAAATCCTGAAAAATGCAGGGAAAACATCCAGCCACTGATTTGGTGGGGCCTTTCCTAGCCAGTTTTACAGTTGTGTTTGGAGTTGACAATATTGTGTGATGAATCTTGGGTAGCACTGTGATTTCAGGGATACAGCATGTACGTGGAAAAGATGCTGGATTTGGAGTCATAGGCCTTGGGTTCAAATGTTACATCTGCCGTTTACTAAGTGTGACCTTGGGCAAGTCAATTTCTCTACCTATAAAAATGAGGGACTGGAATGATATTATAAAGAGAAAACTTTGAAAGATCATCTGGGTTGCCCAGTGATAATGCTGGGCCTGGAGTCAGAAAGACCTGAGTTCAAATTTCAGACACTTACTAGTTGTGTGCCCCTGGATGAGTCACTTAGATTTCTGTTTGCCTCAGTTTTCTCATCTGTAAAATGGAGATAATAATAGCATCTACCTCCCAGGGTTGTTGTGAGGATCAAATGTGATAATACTTGTAAAGCGCTTAGCACATAGTAAAGCACAGTGCCTGGCACACAGGAGGTGCTATACACATGTTAACTATTATTATTATTATTATTATCTTTCTTTGTCTATGATCAAATAATTGCCCTGTGAATTTTTTCTACTTGTTGCTTGTTTTAGACAATTTTGTGAAACTGTCTTTGACTACTTGCTGGAATATATTGCTTAGGTCCCTTTGGTTTTCTAGGGATTCTGGGATGTCAGTAATCCTGAGACTGTGGTATCATTTTCTAAAATTGTTTATCTAGTTGGCCTGCATTGCTTGCAATTCTGTTTTCTGTGGTAGTAACTTTGAGTCTACTAGTGATTTTAGGTTTTCTAGAACATTCCCCATATCATCATTTTCTTCATTTTTGCTTCTCTGGCTTCTTCTGAGATAAAATAAAAAACATTTTTACAAGCTCATCTTTTCTTTGGTTTTTGTGATTTTTCTTATCAATGTTAATTCCTGCTTTATTTCTTTAAATGTTTCATTTATTCATTTGAGCATATCTCCCTTTTTCCATCAGTGTTACTCTGAATACTTCAGCTGTTTCATTTGCTCTATAGCACTTTTTTTCCAAAATTGCATCAGCACTTTGCTTTATTCCGTTTCTGTCTCAGCTGATTTCTGTTTGTATGTTTGTTGGTTTGGTTTTTTAGCTAATTCTTCTCTGTCATCTTTTTAGGTGTTTTTTTTTCTTTAGGGGCAAGAACATGGATTGCTTCAAATTACTTCAAACCACCAATTGACCCCCTTGCCTGGAAATTGAATGCCTGCCTTTAACCATATTCCCTGGGCCTGCTAGGCGCTCATTGCCTACCTCACCCTGGCCTACTGAACTCATCCTTGCTTCTCCTTGGCCAGCTGAATAGACTTGTCCTGCCATGCTGCGCTTCTGCCCCCAATCAGACCCAATGAGTGAAGTTTCCCCATTCCCCTAGCTTAGGCTGCAGAGTAATCTTTTCTTTCCTCATAGCCACCAGCCTTGTCCTCCTCTTGCTGAACTCTCCTGGCCTCCCTCAGGCCTCCTGAATTCTGCCCCTGCCTACCCCGCCTCCCCTACCTCCCCCATTCCCACTTCTCCAATCCTCACCACCTCTGGCCTTGAGTGTGACTTCTGTAATCAATTACCCAAGACCTTCCCTAGAGAAGTGAAGATCACAGGATGTCCCAAGGCTTATCCTGATGTGCATGAATGATGGTATTTCTAGGCTGTGACTGTGGTGAAATAGTTTGTATCCCAACTTTATCCAAGATAAAACAGTTTTATTTTTGGTGCAAACTAGTGTTCCCCAACTAGACTTTACTGTACCAGAAGGGGGAGGAAAACACTATGTGCTAACAACGTCCTTGGGAGAGTTGTCCGGCCTGTTAAGTTTCATTCAGTTTGCTACATTGTCGCTGGCTGCTGGTTGCTACTCAGTCACACAGAGACAAAAAGATCCAAGAATTCTGGGGACTAAGTTAGGATTCAAACCTGACTCCAAACCCAGCTTCCTTTTTGCTCTGTGCTGCTGCCTAGACATCTCCAGGGAGTTGGTAGATCTTGGTTCCAGTTCTGCTGACTCTCCTGAAAATATTCTGACCAGCGCTCTTAGATAAGTAATTTCTTTCTTCCTTTTAAATGCTTAAAGAATTCTTTCCTTGTTTTTGTAGTTTAATGGTGTTTTGGAAGACATGAATTTTTTGATTTCTCTATGGGAGGAAAGGTGCAGTCCTCTGCATCCTTTCCAGTGGCTTCTTCTTGTCCAAAGTAGGAAATTTTCTCCAATTACATCTTCAGATATTACACTTAGGAAATTTTTTTTTTTTTGGTGGGGGAAGTAGATAACCTCTGGAATCACAATTATTCTAAGGCAGTAGTGTCAAATTCAAATAGAAACAGATTCCTGCTGCCACATGTTGGTGAAGGAGGTTTTATCATATGTCTAAAAGTACTTGGAAAACCATAAATTTAACATGATCTATGTAATGCTGTATTTTTATTGATTTTGTTAAACATTTCTCAATTGCATTTTAATCTGGTTCAGGCCATATTACAGAGTTCTGCTGTTGAGGTAAGTTTGACATCTCTGCTAAGGTGTGATCTTTTGTACATATCTTTTAGGTGTTACTGTACCTGCATTTCCATTGTTGATTGGTGGTTGTTTTTGACATCCTGCCACATTCTAGACCTTTATTTTATTTTCATTATCCACATTAATAAGGCAGATGTAGGGTAGTAGAGATTTGACCTTAAAACCTGGAAAACCTGAGTTCAAGTCTTCCCTCTGACACAGACTGGCTGTGTGACCCTAGACAAGTCTCTTAACCTCTCAGTGATCCTGGCACCTCTCTAAGACTGTAAGTTGCAGAGAATGTGCCAACCCACATTAGTAGAGAGATTTCCTCATCCTGGAGTTCCCCGTATCAAAGAAATCACAGGACCACAGCCCCTATTTTTAGCCTTTACATAGTAAAACCTTATTAAAAATTCTCACCTTGGATTAGGATCCAATGAATTTCATCTGGTACATATGTCCCTCTTGTCCTCAGGGCACTGGAAAGAAACAGGACAGGGTTCTGTTTATAAGAACAGCTCTTGGTACTGAAATGCTGAGTCATGAACTATTGTGACCTTGGTTCCCAAGTAGTTGAACATGCCTGTTTGGAAAGATAACTTGGCAAAGGAAAGGGCTCTGTGTGAGAAAAATCAAGTGGTTCTTAAATGTAGTATAACCTGCCTTTAGTACTTAATATTAATGGTCATAAGATTTAAAACTGTAAAGGACTTTAGTCACCATAAGCAGGCACAGTCAAACAGTCCCTGTTTGAATTTATAGTCTATTTGGGGACAGTACCTGTACTCATATGGCACCCTGTACTTATATATGCACATGTTGCCCCTCCACTCCTACTGCTGGACTGTATCCAAGTTCCTTGAGAAAGGGGCTGTTTTTCACTTTTGCCTTTGAATTTCCCACTGTCCATTACCGTTCCTGGTACTATGACTGAGTGACAGATCACCCCAATACAAAATATATGTAAAATAAATACAAGGAGATAAGAGAGGGGGGCACTAACAAGGAGACCAGGCTCAAAAAAGGCTTTATGGAGAAGGAGTTTTGAAGAAAACAAAGGATTCATAAATAAGGAGTGAGTGCATTCCAGGCATGGGGAAAGAAACTGGAGATGACTGTCCTGTGTAAAGAATAGTGTGATGAATGAAAAGTCTGGGAAACAATTTCTGGGTAACTAATAATCAATTCATTAATTATGGCTAGCAAATAATTAATAAAATGAGATCTGTGGCACTCTAGGAAACCAAAGACAAACCTTCCCTCCAGAGTTTAAATACCCTTGGAAAAACAGGTGTTTGGGAAGGCAGAAATCGACTCTGATTGGTTAGCAATTAATGAGAATGATTATTATAATGAGAAGGGCTGAGGACTTGACTTTGATTATGCCACTCTTGGACAAAGAGACTCACTTCCAACCAGATCGTTCTGCCTCCATCAATTTATGCAAAAGGATCTATCCTTCACCAAACCACTTACATAAATTGAACAATGAGCCAGAATTCACCTAGAATTCTTCCTTTAATCTGAACTAAACTTTCCCAGCTGGGTGGGATCCCACCCAAAACTGAACCCAATCTCATCATGAGTCCAGTGTTTCAGAGGCTACTTTGACTTAGTCATTCAAACGAGGAAATAGGGGGGAAAAACCCTGATTTACGTCCCCCATGTTAATAATTGGTTATTAATAATTATGTCTCAATAGTAAGTCACATGTATAATGGGTACAGTATTGCTTGCCTTCTTAATGAGGGGGAGGGTTTGGAAAAAAGGAACAGTAACAAGGTCATTCTGGCTGGACCTTAGAGTGCCACAAGGGAACTAAATTACAAGGTTGGAAAGGTAGGTTTGGGTTAGGTTGTGAAGAAAGTGAAATGGAGGAGTTTGTTTATATTTGGTTTGAAAGGCATTATTAGACTGCCACTCGAGTTTATTGAGTGGGATTAGATCAGTTTTAGAAAAATCACTTTAGCACTGTGTTAGATTAAGGTAGAAACTTAAGGTCAGGAGACCAATGTTGTTGCAATAGTAGGGGTGAGAAGTGATGAGGGTCTGAACAAAGGTAGAAGCCACGTGGGTAGAGAGAAGAGGACTGGGATAATTTGTGTAGAAATGACAAGATCAGGTCTCTGAGTGGATCTTTGGAGTGAGGGAGAATGAGTGGATGATTAGGCCAAGGCTGCCAGGTCATACAGGTAGTAAGTGGAAAGCAAAGATTTTGACCCAGGGCCTCTGACTCCAAATCCAGTCCCTTTACCCAACATTGCTTGTCTCTGGAAGAAACGGCAATCGTCCAATCTGTGCTAAACTGGGTGGTAGAAAGGAATCTGCAGCGGCCAGAGCCAAACATAAGAATTTTAACTGACATTTATAGAGCTTCCAGTACATGATCTCATTTGAGCCTCCACAATAATCCGGTGAGGTGGGTACCGCGGATATTATTATCCCCGTTTACAGGCGAGGAGACTGAGGCCGGTCAAGGTAATGAAGAGATTTGCCCAGGGCTATATTGTTAGTGTCTTGGATCCTCCACCTTCCCGACTCCTAGTCTAGCCTTTAATCCAATGCACCACAAAGCCTCTCTAACATACACACACACCCTGAATCACAATCAAGGCACTTCTCCAGGCTCCAGGAGTGAGGCTTGAGCCGGCTCTGGCTTTCCAGCAAAGCCAGGAGACCTACCAGCCCCAGCACGCGGCGGCCTCGGCGGGGTGCGACGGCTGGTCCGGGAGGGAGGGGGGTGGGGCGGGCAGGCGTCTGAGGCCCGAGCTCTGGAAGCGAGAAGGCACCATTTTCGGGGTGGGGGGAGGACGGTGCGCGTGGTACGAAGCCGGGGAGCGAGCCGTGGAACCAGGGGTTGGGGCAGCGGTCTGAGAGCAGGAGGTGTGGCCGGCCGGGCCCCTGGGGCTGCCCTCGGATCTCGCCGGCCAGGCCAGAGCTGTGCCCCTGAAAGTAAGGAAGGACGTATGTCTCTTTTGTGTAGTCCTCTTCCCTCTACTCACCTAGGCTTCCCCTCCACTTGGTCTGCTTTCCTTTCCCCTTCTCTTCTGTAATCCCATCCCTACCCCCACTCACCCTCCCAGCTTCCTTGTCTCCCTACCAGTTCCATCCTGCCCTCTGTCTCCCTCCCTCCTTTCCCACTTCCCACCTTCAGCTTCCTTTCCTCCCATCCCCCCAGTTCCCATCCTGCCCCCTCGGTTACCTCCTGTCCCTTCACATCGCGCCCACCCTGTCTCCACCCCTACCTTCCCACCTTTCTCCCTCAGTCTCCTTCCCTCTCTCCTCTCCTTTCTCATCTTACCCCCTCTATCTCCACTCCTCCCTTCCTACCCTCCTCCTCATTTTCCTTCTCTCTTTCCACTCCTGCCTTCAACCTCCTTCCCTTCCTTCCCACTCCTCCACCTCAGTCTTCTAGCTTCCATTCCTTTTCCCTCTTTGCCTCCCTCTCTCTATTCCCATCTTGCCATATCTGCCCCCTTCACTCAATTCTGCCCCTGCATTCTTACCTCTTAAAATGAACTTTTTCAATTTAGGAACGTTTATTAAGCTATTATGTGTAAAATATTGTGCTAGGTGCTGGGGATAAAGACTAAGAAAACTACATCTGTGAAAACAGAGCTACCCTCAAGGGCTTCCACTAATTAGTTTCATTTCCACTTAATTTAGAATCATTTAAAGCTCAGCTCAAATGCTTTTTGACAACCTGGGATCTATGAATTTTAAAAATGAAGTATTTGATAACTGTATTTCAATATAATTGATTTCCTTTGTAATCCCATGTATTTTATACATTTAGAAACATTTTGAGAAGGGATCCATCATCTTCACCCAATGAGCAAAGTGGTCCGTGACATTAATTAAAAGACTAAGAAGTGATACTTTAGACATTTCCCCCATTTGAATTTCATTGTGGACTTAGTTTTGTAACCCTAATGTAATTAGCATCACAAATTTGAACTGGATAGACTTTAGGGTTTATTTAGTCCAATTCCCTCATGTTACAGATGAGAAACAAGTCTAGAGAGGTATGAAGACCAAGATAGAAAAAGATATAATTCCTGACTTCTGGGAGTTTATAGTAATAGGATAACAACAGCAACAACAACAGTAATAATAGCTAATGTTTGTATAGAGCTTTAAGGTTTACCCTCCACAGAGTCCTAGGTTTGGAGCTCAAGCTCTGATAGCTTCTACCATTTTGAAAAGGCTTACAGTATGGTCCCAGTGAATAACCAATGCGATTTCTGTTAGGTTGGCCACTTAATGATTTTTTTTTTTTTTTGGCCACAACAACCCATGAAACAAATGAAAAACTTTAAATGACTTTAAGTTTTGTACTGGCCCTCTTATGCTTCTGCAGTGAAAGGGGCAGAGCTCTCCAAGGCACGTACTTTTTTTAGACTGTCAGCAAAACTTCAGTTTAATTGTTTATACTTTAAGTGTGAGATTCTTTCTTTCTTTCTTTCTTTCTTTCTTTCTTTCTTTCTTTCTTTTTTCGCCTTTTGGTAAGGCAGTTGGGGTTAAGTGACCTGCCCAGGGTCATAAGTGTGAGATTCTTGTCCAATAACCAATAAGGGCACCTATTGCTAAAGTTACTGAATCATAGCAATCTTGATATTCTTCCTATAAATGAAACCAGGAGAAGAAAGTTGCTTTGGAGGACAAAGAAAAATGTTGGGGAAAAAGGTTTGTGATCTGATAATGTGATAATGATATGATATATCTAAAAGATTTTGTTGTGTGGGATATTTGGTTATGACATATCTGAGTACGAATGATAAGGACTTAGAAACAGTTCACCACAAAAATAATGGCTTCTTATATACCAACATTAGCTGCTCAGGAATAAGTGGTAGAGAAATTCTCAGAAGAACTTGAGACTTCCTAAATCAAATCATCATACGCTCTGATACTTGCTGACTTCTTTACAAGGGTGGAGAAAGGTGAAGATGGGGGGAAATATATGGGAACATGGCTCAGACTTAATGCCTCTATTGGGCAGTAGAATGTAGGGCCTGAAGTCAGAAAGACTTATCTTCATTAGTTCAAATCTGGCCTCAAACACTAACTGTGTGACTCTGGGCAAGTCAGTTAACCCTGTTCCTCTTATTTTCCTCAACTGTAAAATTGAGCTGGAGAAGGAAATAGCAAACTGTTGTATCTCTGCCAAGAAAACCTCAAATCAGGTCCCAAAGAATCGGACACAACTGAAAACAACTGAACAACAAAAATGCCTCTATATCATGGATACTTTCTTCAAAAGAATTAGTAGTTGCTGGCCATGGAGAGCAGTAAATAATACCATAAAGAATGAGACTCCATTTTAACAGATAGAAAAGGTTTTATTATTAACATCGGAGTTTAACTGAAGTCAGCTGTCAAAGCAGAGATCAGAATTTATAATAAAAAGAAAGAATAATAATTAGAAAAAGATATGGCATACAATAAAAAACTTAACAGACTTATTTAAGTAAGCTATTGAAAATAAATGGACAACAGAAATAAAATTGGAACCGACTATAATAATTCTATCCAAAAGTTAAACCAATGTAAATTCATTGCCACAACAAGGAGACCAAATGGGCCCAGCAAGTAACTTAGAAAACATTTGTTTTGTTTGCCAAATGGGAAAAAAAAAGATGGCTTCCAAAGACAATACCAAGATAGAAAATAAACTCCTTTTTAAAATCTTAGAAAGATTGATGGACAATCATAAGCAACAAAGCAGAGGGAGGCAGGACAAGGTAAAATCAGTCTAAAGAGAGCCTGGCAAGATATCCAACTAAGCAAAGTCAAGGGCACTCATAGATGAAAGTGGAAAGAGGATTAGAACTAAAAGACAAATGGAAATGATTTGAAAAACAGAACAAAACAAAACATTTCAACAAACCTTTATTAATCAAGGGTAGTGGAACCACCACACTGGGATCCAAATATCACAGTTCCCAAGGTATTGTAGAGGAGGTAGAAATGTCACTAATGAGAACAAAGGCAGGAAAAGCAGCTGGGTTGGACCAAGCATGTAGAAAGATCAACCATAAAATTGTGAAGGCATCGAGGAATGAGGGCATTTAGATATAAAGTATCCAAAGGACAGAAAGATATCAAAAACATGGAGATAATCTCAAACTTTATTAATACTAAAAAAAAAAAAGCAGACCAAGAGATCAATAACTACCACCCTGTATGCCTACTTTCTCATCTATGCAAAATCTTTGTGAAGGTCATCTATACATGAATTGAGGTTGTCTTTAGTGAGTGTATTAATAGAGATTGAAAACTTTCACAAGGAATATTGAATAATAGCCCACATCTTTATCAGCTGACAATAGACCAAAAGACTTAGAGAATAAAATATCATTGGGCTTATTGTTCATTAATTATGAAAAAAACATTTGACTCATTAAAACAATACCACCTTACAGAATCTTTTGCAACAAAATGTCTCTCTTACATCCAGATTGTTAAAGATTTCTTGAAGGATGTAAAAACAGAAATAACTCTGCTTAATGACCTTCTGATGATAATATTAGGAGAAGCATAAGAGAGGGAAAATGTGTGCTTCCCAAAATTATTCACCACCATGATGGAAGAGATCCAGTAGAGAGCCAAGGTTGAGGAGGAGTTCCCTATGGATGGTAAGACCCTTCAGATGCCCCTTTAGTGGATGGCATTTTGTTGCCTGAATCGAGCCCTGAGACATTTTAAAGCTTCCTAGAAGAGTTCTGTGATCACTCAAAGGAATTTGGACTATCTACAGAAAAGACCAAGTTGATGAAGAATGTCTATTGCCCAGATTTCAACATACGTTTCAATGACCAGAGCTTATCCATCAGTACAGGAGAGACAGTACCAGATGGACATATTGGGCCCAGGGTTGAAAAGGGGAGAAAGTTGGGATTACTTTTGGGAAATTGCAAAGTTCTCTTACTGACTCTAAGCTTCCCATGCTCCCTCTTTTTTATACAAATATTTTACCAGTGCTGCTATATGTGAGTGAGACCTGGAATGCCATTGTTTCTGAAGAAGTGAAAATGTGAGCACACCCAAGGCAGTGGAAAAGAAGGATGGTAGATGTGAGGAGACTGACATATAGAAGCAATGAAGAACTCTAAAGAAGAACAGGAGTAAAGCATGTCATTCAGGGGTTATTTAACAGGAAAGGCAGATTGATTGGTCACATGGCAAGGGCAAAGGTTGACAGATAGACAGAGACTTCCACTGGTATCCTTGGAAGAAAGCACTTTGGGTAGATGCCAAATGGTGAACTTTTGGGAGAATATGAATGAGAGTTATATAGGATCTGCACAGACACGACTGGGTTGCAGTCTCTATTTTAGAGAAAATTCCTGAATCAAGGAGATCATAGGTCCATTTGAATACTTGAATGTCTTTAAAGCTTCTAAAATTTCCGGCTTTCCAACTGGCACTGGCATGTTTGGTTCTCAAAGGGTGACTGACTACTTCTCCCATCAGGGTTCTAGGAATAACCTTGAGGGGATAAGGGTATCTAAAACTATCCTTCACAGGGCCCATCTGATGTGTTCCCCAACATCACTTAACTAGGTGTTATCTCCCTAATATCACTTAACCAATTAATATCAATTAGTTTTTACAAAGGGATATGTACTGAGAAGGTAAAAAGGACCTTAGTGCAAAAACACATTTCCCTTCCCTCCCTCCCAAAAAAATCCCAAAACCCTGGAGGTTTTCTCTGTATACCCATTTAGTCATAGGGGAGAGTGTATTCAAATTTAAAGCTGATGCTTTAAAACATAACCCTTCCCTCTCCCCAAGTCTGGGAAGTAGTTCCTGATTTAGTCCTTTTCTCTTTAGAAGGAATTCCCACCATTTGGGTGTGGCATAGCGGATGGATTAATCACTCCCTTGCTAGGCTGGACTCCTCCTCACTGGGTTAAACAAGTTGCTCAACTGTTTTGAGGTCTCTACCAGAGTCCTCACTAGACTCAGCTGCTGTGGGTTGGACCTCTGATGGATCCTTCAATGACCTTTCAATGGATGTTTTCAAAGATTCCAAGTTTG